AGATAGATAGATAGATAGATAGATAGATAGATAGATAGATAGATAGATAGAGATAGAGAGATGAGAGAGAAAGACAGATGATAGATAGATAAGTATAGATACAGATATATAAGCAGTGAGTCCATGGTTACATCATTATGGTGCACACAAATACAGCTGTGTTCATGTGGGATTGATGTAAGGAACAGATGTCATATAGCTTATAAAAATAGTTGTCCCCAAAGAGTCCCCTCCCCCACAGTTCCTGAGGTTGAGCCTAATCCTCCATAAGTCCTCTGCCTTTCTGCTGAGGCTGGACTGTTGCCCTAAGAGGATTGGAGCATTTACTAAATTAGTCCTGTCCGGGGACACAGGAAACAGACTGCATGAGGTGGAAGGGGAAAACAATAAGAGGAACAGACAGCTATGGGGGGCAGACATAGGAAGAAGAGGGGACAGCCAGAAAACGCCAGAGACCAAGCACATAGCTGTAATCCCCGCAGGTGGGAGTCAGATTTTTATGAGTTTGAGGACAGCCAGGCCTATGTAGCAAAACCCTGCCTTAAAAAATGATGGTGGAATAAAGAGATGGCTCAGTGGTTAAGAGAACTGGCTGCTCTTCCAGAGAACACAGGTTTGGTTCCTAGGGGGTTGGATATGCTCTTCTGGTCCAAGAGCACTGCCTATACATGGTACACAGACATATAAGCAAGCAAAATGCCCATACACATCCATTTTCTTTAACTGAAGGGACTCCATATTCTAAGAAGGTACCAACAAAGAACAGTTCTTCCCTCTCCCAGCTGTGAGATGTGGTGACTGTACTGACTCCCCATCCCTTGCAATCTCCTCACCTATAATAATAACCATAGTGTCTGTCTTCTGCATTGCTGTGATGATTCCAACAGTTAGAACTGACTTATTTTCTTTTTGCTCTACTAGGAATTGAACCTAGGGTCTCCAACACTATAGATGAGTGATGTGGGATTCCCCTCTATATGCTATGAATATGCTTATTACCATTTGTTATTAAAGAAGCTCTTTCAGCCAGTGACTTAGTAAAGTCAGGCAGGAAATCCAAACTTCTATAGATATAGAAAGTAGGCAGAGTCAAGGGGATGCCATGTAGCTCCCAAAAGAGAAAGGTGCCAGCCACCAGTCAGAACCTTACCAGTAGGCCACAGCCTCGTGGCAATACACAGATTAATAGAAATGGGTTAATTTAAGATGTGAGAGTTAGCTAGAAATATGCCTAAGCTATCAGCCAAGCAGTGTTATAATTAATATGGTTTCTGTGTTATTATTCAGGTCTGGGCAGCTGGAAAACGAATGAGCAGTCTCTGCCTACAAAATGGTGACTAACATGGGGCTCACACCCACAACCATGAGATTAAGAGTCTCATGCAAATGTGACTTTGGGTGATTGCCCAGGTAACTGGTTGTCTCTGTCATTTCTTGCACCTTTCGGGCGTTTCTTGATTGCATTTCCTGTTTACTCAAGTAATATTATTTCCCTTCTCAGGTCTTTGATGGGGTTTAAGACTAGATAATTGTAGTTAATTTCCTCTTATGACTTAGCCAAGCCATTTCTAATATAAGACTTAGACTCTTTAGGATAGAATAACTATTAAAACATTTAGCATATGTTTCTTGCCTGATGTTGTTCATGCTGGTTGTAATTCTAATTTTAATTCTTGATATTTGTTTTTTTAATTTTTATTTTTACTATATTATTATTATTATGTATACAATGTTCTGCCTGCAGGTCAGAAGAGGGCACCAGATCTTATTACAAATGGTTGTGAGCCACTATGTGGTTTCTGGGAATTGAACTCAGGATCTTTGTAAGAGCAAGCAGTGCCCTTAACCACAAAGCCATCTCTTCAGCCCCCAATATTTGTTCTTATTGTATACAGTTTTGTATTAGACTTAGAACTCTCTTATTTAGAAAAAATGGGGAGGTGCTGTGGAATTCCTTCAGCCAATAGCCTTTAAGATACTGGCCCATTTTGGGAATGGTTTCATATACTATAGATATATATACAGACAAAAAGCATGTGCAGGCCCCTTGGCTGCTGGATTGGGTTCCAGGTTCCTGTGTACACAGAGGACTGGGGATCACTAGTGTTTCTGTGAGTTTATCCCCCTAATAAATTCTGTGAGTTTAATCCCTAATAAATAAACCTTTATTATACTCCACTCTGGGCTAGTGTGGAAATTTTTCATACTGCAACAGATGAGCACTAAGCCTCTGCCCCTCACTGGGGGATACTAAGCAGAGGCTCTACCACTGAGTCACACTGCCAGAATCTTTTAAAACTTATCTGTAATGAGGTCTCATTAAGTTTCCTAGGCAGGTCTTAAACCTGAGATCCTCCTCCTCAGCTCCCACGTGCTGGGATCCCAAGCCTGACCCTGGTCGTGTATCCTTCTTAGTTGACTTTCAGGAGATACGGAGAAAAACTTTGCCATAACAGGAAATACCCAGGAGCACACACACTGTGGGCATAAAGGGTAGAGCAAATCTTAATTTCTTTCCACCTAGCCAAGTTTGCCCCTCAACTAAAAAAAAAAAAAAATCACACAGAAACAAAAAGAAAAAAATCACTCAAATTTGAGTGGGATCCAACATTTTTAATCAGTTTCACTCTGGGTAGCCAGGGAAGGGAGACCTGAGAGGCCAGAAAGTGGGAAAAGAAAAGAACAGAGAAGCTAACATCAAATGAGGGGACTCCTGGTCCCCTCATCTACAGCCGCTTTCCTGGTCAGTCTTAGGACTTGGAATATGGGATTTGTAGGAGGAAGGGAGAGTGTTATGTAGCCCAGGCCGGCCTCAAACTTGCAATATAGACAAGGATGACCTTGAACTCTTATTCCCCTGCCTCCACCTCCCTGTGTTGAGCAAGTGTGTGCTACCACTCCTGGCTTATGAAATATATATTGGACATACTCTGTAGACATCTAAAAGGTGGACCCATGAACTGGGCTTCCAGCCTCTTGATGAGATTCAGTTTCTACAGACATCTGGAAGACCCCAGCACTGGTGCCTCCACAATCTCACCTGGGAACTGGTGACTAGGTTCTAGAACATTCTATTCATCTTTCACGTCCTCCCAAATATTCACATCAATCTTCTTTTGCATTTTGCTTTTGTCCAAGACACAGCCTCCCAGCTCAATTTGGTGGCACATGCCTGTAAAATCTATATAGATACATAAATCATATATACACATAAATTGAATGGACAACCCCTTAAATCTACCATGTAAACATAACATTTGTTAACTTTAACTGTATAAAAATTTCCAAGTGAATTTAGAGGTTTCACTCTGGAGCCTAGGTTGTCCTCAAATTCCCGGAAATCCCCCTTGCCTCAGTTTCTTCCATTGTAGGATTACAAACATTGAGTCACCACACCTGGCTTAGGGCACCGTGAGTTCTGACTCAAACATTCTCCAGGTAAATTGCAAGACAGATTTCCTTTGTCTCTGGAGCTCATTCTCAGCACCTTTACTGAAGTCTTTGGAAAAGCAGCAGACACACACATCACAATCATAACATCTACTGATTGCTGCTGGGCTATCTCAGTAGAGGCGAGACCCTCTTTCATTGATGGGGTAGGCTGTACAGGGGCTAGGCTCTCTGATGAAGCTGAGATTGGGCTGAACCTGAGGCTGACTGTCCATAGCCTTTGGCAGGACTGCTACTTCCTGTCCCTTGCTGGGGGCTACTCTCCTGGAATCTAAGCTGGAGGAGGCAGATGGAGCCCAGAGAGGGTGCTTCAACTAGAAGGGGGAACAGGAAGCCTCTTCTACAAGATCTGAAATTTCCAGGCACTCTGATCTTTGTAGTCCAGAGGGTCCATGGGGTTGTAGGTGAATTTCCAGGTGCCTGTGGGGTCCTTGAATTCCAGGCTGTCCACGGGGCTGTAGGTACTGTAGCTCTGGCCTGACAAGGAGGTGGGGGATTGGGCCAAGGATGGCCCCACGGAAGGGCCTGAGAGAGGGCTGAGAGCCGGACCCCCTAACTGGGGCACCATAGGAGAAAGGTAGGGATCCAGCCCACTGAAATAGGAGCTTGGAGAAGCATAAGCGGAGGGGGAAGAGCAGAAAGCAGAGGCAGGAGCATAGGTCATGGCATAGGGGGCTGAGGTGAGAGAGGGCCCTGAGGCCACTAGCCCAGCTCGCTGGGCCTCAGGCAAAGGAGACTCCGAGGCCGGACTCCAAATGGACACAGTGGCCACTGCTGCGGTAGGTGAGCCTGAGGGACCAGGCAGAGATGGGCTGTAGGAATCTGAGATGCCCAGTGGGTCTGTACAAACATCTGCAGAGGGCCGTGGGGATGTGCCTGCCTTCCTCTTCGCAGGGCGAACCTTGACCTGTCCCCCTGGGGGCTGCTGCTGCTGTTTCTGCTGCTGCCGCTGCTGTCTGCATTTTGCTCTGCGATTCTTGAACCACACCTAGAGGGAGAGAGTGAAGATTAGCGTGAATAAACTGGGAAGAGCTCAGAGTCCTCAGGTGGCAAGGGAAGACAAGGCTGACGGAAAGAGCCACACTTCACCACTCTGCATCCAACAACGGGGCAGCTCTGTCCATGATCAGTGTACCCATCCAATCATTCACACACACATGCACACAGAAACCTACATGCACCAGTCACACATATCTCATAATACAGGCAATCACACATATATGCATCTATCAGTCTACGTGCATCACCTACCAACCTGATTGATTACACATACATACATATATACAATCATGCATTATCCTCACATATATGCATGCAGTCATACACATATACACATACATACATACCTGCATGCACTCAGTCACCTACCTGATTGCATGAATTTGTATGCAAGCATGTATTATGTCACCAATATACAAAACAATCTTGCACATATGCATGCATTATATTAACATGCTCTTGCTCATGAAAATGAACATGTAATCACACATGCAATGTGTCATATTTGCATATACTCCTCAGTCCATCAGCAGTTTTTCATATAGATGCAATAATACCAGGGCCAGGGATGTAGTTCAGTAGTACAGCATTTGCCTGGTACGCACAGGCTCTGGATTCAGGCTCCCACACCGCAGAACACACACAAACATACACACTTCTCTCACCCACAAATCCTCTCAGTCACCAAGGATCGTGCATCAACCATCCTCTACTACTAAACAGAGACAGAGAGATTAATATTCTTCTACTGTGAGGAATATTAGTGTTACAGTACACAAATCATACAATTGCAGCAGAGGCTCACTATGTAGCCCAGATTGGCCCAAATTCAAGGCACTCCTCCTGCCTCTGCCTCCAACATGCTGAGATTACAGGGGTGAGTCATCATGCTTAGTGTAATATTCTAGAACAGTATATGGAAGATGTTGTGAAGTAGGAACGCAATAGCACCAGAGTTTGGGGTTGGAATTAAAAGCACTATGGTCCATGTCAGTCTCCTGGCTTGTAAGCTGACTTGACTGATGGATGAACAAGCACAGTGACGAGACAAATCCTGTGAAGCTAGGCTTACTGAGACAGGCCTGTTGTAAGCCTGCTCTTCAGGAGGCTGACGCAAGGTGATCCAAAGCTAAACGTCTACAGGGCTGTAGAGTGAGTTCAAGGCGTGCCTGAATAACTTAGACTTTCTCACGGTGCCAATGCTGCAGTGGATGGCCTCACGTCCATCTGCATGTGCACGGTACAAATCGAGCCAGTGGCTTATAAAAGAGGAGGATGATGGAGAGGAGGAGAAAAGCAAAAAAGACAGGAATGAAACTAAGCAGGAAATGGAGGGGGGTCCAGGAGTACTTGGAAGGGAGGAGGGGGTAGATATCTCAATACATTGTATCCATGTATGAAATTACCAAAAAATAAAATTATATTACTTACCTAAATTTTTTAAATTGTAATTACATCATTTCCACACCCTCCTTCCAAACCAAAGAATAATTAAAAAAATAATAAGATAACAAAACAGTCTAGAAAAATGGCTCAATGGTTAAGAGTGCATATTGCTCTTGCGGAGGACCTGGATTCAATTGCCAGCACCCACACTGCATGACTAACAATTGCCTGTAACTCCAGCTCCAGGGGATCTGATGACTACTTCTGGTCTCCCCAGGCACTGCACTCACTCATATACACACACACACACACAAGAATATAATTAAAAATAAATCTCTAGCCAGGTGCAGTGGTGCAACACCTTTAATCCCAACACTCAGGAGGCAGAGACAGGTGGATCTCTGTGAGTTCCAGGTCAGCCTAGTCTATAAGAGCTACTTCTAGAACAGGCTCCAAAAGCTACAGAGACACCCTGTCTCAAAAAAACAAAACAAAATAAAAACAAAAAGACCTTATCTCAAAAATAAATTTAGCCTGGAGGTGGTGGCACACACCTTTAGCGCCCCACCCACCCACTCAGGAGGCAGATCTGTGTGTTCAAGGCCAGCCTGTTCTACAAAGCAAGTTCCAGGACAGCCAGAGCTGTTAACACAGAGAAACCCTGTCTTTGAAAAAGAAGGAAGAGGAGGGATGGAGGAGAAGGAAGAAGAAAAGGAGGAGGAAGAGGAGGAGGAGGAAGTGGAAAAGGAGGAAGGAAAGAGAGTTAAGTGGCACAAAGGAAGGGAGGGATTTGTGCTGTTTCATAAATGTCGTTGTTACTCGGTGGCCTCTCTCTCTCTCTCTCTCTCTCTTTCCTCTACTCTAGATCTGATAACAGCACACAGAGGATCACAGTAAGGGTCAGGAGAGGTCCAGGGAGCAGAATATCCTACCTGGACCCTGGACTCAGGCAGGTTGATCTTGAGAGCCACCTCCTCACGAGCGTACACATCCGGGTACTGGGTCTTGGAAAACAGGGCCTCCAGCTCTTCCAACTGGCTCCTGGTGAACGTGGTTCGCTCCCGTCGCTGCTTCCTGGGGGCGCCTGTGTATGAGTGAATGAAAGAACCCTCAGGTTAGCTAGGTCTGCTGACTGGAAGCCCTGAGGTCCAGTGAGATGCCTGCCTAGAAGTTCGTTCTGTACATCCATCTGCCTAAACAAGAGGCTGTATTTATTCCCTGACCTAGCGCCAGCTCAGTCAGCGGAGGAACTGGAGGTGCTTTCCAGTCACAAGTCCACAGGAGGGAACCGCTTTTAGCCCTGCAAGGATTTGCTCCTCTTTTTGTTTTCATTTCTCTCCTACCTCCTTCCCCTCCTCCTTCTCTTCCTCCTCCTCTCTGTCTATTTCTCTTCCTCTTCCTCTTTCACTACAGCAGGGTTTCACTGTGTAGCCCAGGCAGGCCCTGAAACCCTGGGATCGAGTGATTCTCCTACCTCAGCCTCCCCAACAGCTGGGACTACAGGCAGGGGCCATAGCACCAGACTCCCCTATGAACCTTTTTGTGCATAAAGTCATATTCAGATGAAGCATGATGTTGTTAATAACCAAGCACTCTGGCCCATAAAAGTGATGTTTTAGCTGGGCGATGGTGATGCACACCTTTAATTTTAATCCCAGCACTTGGGAGGCAGAGGCAGGCGGATCTCTGTGAGTTAGAGGCCAGCCTGATCTACAGAGTGAGTTCCAGGACAGGCTCCAAAGCAACAGAGGAAGCTATCTCGAAAAACAAAAAAGATAATGTCTCTGTGGTTCAACTTAACGTGAAAGGAAAAAGAAAGTGGGTTAGCAAGATGGTGCAGCGTGTAAAGGCGACTGTGGAAGACAAGTCTGAGGACCCGAGTTCAGTCCCTGGGACCCACAGAGTAGAAGAAAAAAACAACTCCCAAAAGTCATCCTCAGACCTCTACAAGAGAGCCATGGCACCCATGCCTGCTGCTCCTTGCCCTGCACACAAACATAAAAACAATGTTTTCTTCATTCTCTAAAGAAAGAAAAGGCCAGATCAAGTGACCCTGTCTCTAATTCCAGCACTCAGGAGGCAGAAGCAGGCCAATCTCTGAGTTTATAAAGCCTGGTCTACATAGTGAGTTTCAGGCAAACAATGCCTGCATAGTGAGAGCCCTGTCTCAATAAATAAACAAATAAATGAATGAATAAACAAGAGAGAGAAGGAAAAGAGAGAGAGAGAGAGAGAGAGAGAGAGAGAGAGAGAGAAAGGAGAAAACTGTTAAATAATAAGTATCATAGTAGAGAAGAATGGTGCAAAACTACAATCCCAGTCCTCTAGAGAGTGAACCAGGAGACTGGGACCAGATGTTCCTAAAAGACAAGCTGGGGGTAGAAAGGAGGAGCACACTTACTTGAGTATGGAACAGCCTGGTGCATCAGGTCCACACTGGGGCCACTCAGAGCCAAGGCGTTGACCGAATAGTGAGGCCCCGGGTTCATATACGCCATCATGATCTTCAGTGACTGAGGCCCAGAAGAGGGCACCTACAGGAGATCGGGCTGTTCAACAGTTCACTCTGCCCACCGCCCAGACACTGACCAGTTGATACTCACTCACATTCCGCTAAGGAATCTCTCCCGCCCTCTCTTGCTTTTAGAATACAAGAGAGTCTGGCAGATCTGTGTGCTCAAGGTCAGCCTTGTCTTCACAAGGAGTTTCAGGGCCTCATTGCACAGCTTTAGCTGGCCTGGAACTCAGTTTGTTTTGTTTTGTTTTGCTTTTGCTTATTTGTTTTGTTTGTCGAGGGAGGGTTTCTCTGTGAAGGTTATCGTGGAACTTGCTTTGAAGAACACGCTGGCCTCAAACTCACAGGAATCCGCCTGCCTCTGCCTCCCGAGTGCTGGGATTAAAGGCATGTGCCACCACCGCCCGGCTCTGGACCGCCCGGTTCAGGAACTCAATTTGTAGCCACAATACTCAACTGAAAAAAATATTTTGGTTTGGTTTGGTTTTTTTGGTTTTGTGCAACAGGATCTCGTGTAGCCTGGGCTAACATTAAACTAGCCAAACCTGATTTGGTATTTCTGACCATCCTATCTCCACCTCACAAGTGCTGGGACCACAAACACTAGCCGTTGCTCTGTGTGTGTGTGTGTGTGTGTGTGTGTCTGTATACATACATACTTTGGCTCTTCTGGAACTTGCTCTGTATTCCAGGCTAGCCTCAAACTCACAGAGATCTGCCTGTTTCTGTCTACCAAGTGTTGGGATTAAAGGCATGTGCCACCACACGCAGAGATTCACCTGCCTCTGGACCTCTGCCTCCCAAGTGCTGGAATTAAAGGCTGTACCACCCAGCTTTTATACTTTATTTTTGAAAGAAGATCTTAGATAGCTCAGGTTGGCCTCAAATTTGCTAGGTCACTGAGTATGACCTTGAACTCATGACCCTCTTGAATCCACCTCTCAGGTGCTAAAATCACAGGTCAGTACCACACCTGTTTTATGTGGTGCTGGGTACTGAATGGTACTGAATTCAGGTCTTCACACATGCTAGACATGTACTCTACTTAATGAGCTACCCACCTTGGTTTTAAGATCAGGTATCTCATGGTCTGCTAGTCGCCACACAGGGTAGGGTGGCTGGCCAAAAAGCCCCGGGTATCTGTCTGTGTTTCACTAGCACTGGGATTATAAACTCTCACCGTGCCCGTTTTTTAAAATCTGGCTTCTGGGGACCAAACTCAGCTCCTCAAACCTGCACAGTCAGCAGCTTACTAAATAAGCTGTCTCTTGGAACCACCCTCAGTGAGTCAGGAAACCATTTTGTAGTCCAAACTGGCCTCAAACTCACAGCAGTACTCCTGCCTCAGCATCTGGGATGGCTGACAAAGTCACACTTTATACTAAGTGTAAATGTTATGTATTCTCCGGTATGTCCAAATTATAATAATAATAGACATAAAATGCTTGTTATATTTGTATTTATTCTTTAATATCAAGTTTTGAACATATTGTACTGCATACTATGTATATTTCAGGGATGAAATCCAGTGCTGTCAACATGCAGATTATGCCATTGTTTGTGGTTTTTGAACACGGCACTAACTTTCAGCACACAATATATAGGGACTGGAAAGATGGCTCTGCAGTTAAGAACACTTGTCTGCTCTGGCAGAGGACTAGGTTCCATTCCCAGCCCCCACATGGTAACTCACATCTAACTCCTTCTTCAGACCTCTGTGAACATTGTATGTACATGGTGCACATGCGTACACTAAAGCACACACACATACAATAAAGGGAGGGGGGGACTGGAGCCAGGCATGGTGACTTTAATTCCAGCACTCTGGAGGCAGAGGCAGGTGGATCTCTGTGAGTTTGAGGTCAAACTGATCTACAGAGTGAATTCTAGGACAGCCAGGGCTATGTAGAGAGACCCCATCTGGAAGGAGGAGGAAGAGAAGAGGAAAGGGAAGGGAGGGAAGGGTAGGAACTGGGAAAAAGGCTAAACGGTTAAGAGCATTCATTGCTCTTCCAAAGGACCCAGGTACAGTTCCAGGCCCCACATTGGGTGTTCCACCTATGTTTCAGAGGATTCTATGTCCTGGCTCCAAAAGCACCTACATTCATATGCACATTCCCACATACACACGCATACACATAGTTTTTAGTAATGAAAATATATTCTAAAGAGCAGGGTGGGGCGGGCAAAAGATGCGGATGCTGGAAAGTGCCTCAGGGGTTAAGAGCTCTTGCTACTCTTCCAGAGAACTCAAATTCAGTCCCAAGCACTCAAATCAGACAGCTCACAGCTGCCTGTAACTCAAGCTTCTAGGGAGTCAATGCCTTCCTCTGGCCTCTGTAGGCACCCTCACTCAATTGCATATACACACGAATAATATTTTTATTCATTTTTCACACAAGATTTCTCTGTGCAACAGTCCTCGCTGTCCTGGAACTCACAGGCTAGCCTCAAATTCAGTGATCCACCTGCCTCTGCCTCCAAAATGTTAGGATTAAAGGCGTACGCCACCACCGCCTGCCTCACAAACAACGTTTTAATCTTAATAATAATAATAATAAATGCTAGCACATGGGCTAGAAAGAAGAAGAACATTTGTTATACCATACAGCCCTAAGGACCTGAGTTCAGATCCAGCACCAAAGTTAAAAGCCCAGCTTGCTGGGTGTGGTGATGCATGACATAAATCCCAGCACTTGGACTGGAGAAATGGCTGCTCTTCCAAAGGACCTGAGTTCAATTCTCAACATGCACACAGTGGCTCACAACTGTCTGTAATGGGGTCTGACTCCCTCCTCTGTTGGGAATGAAACTGAGCGCTCATTTACATAAAATAATCTCTGTGAGTTCAAGGACAGCTCCGTCTACATGGAGAGTTCCAGGGTAGCCAGAGCTACAGCAAAAAAGACTCTTCTTTCTCAAAAGGTGGGGGGGGAAGCAGACTTAATGCCATGAACTCCTCTAACCCTAAGGCTGTGAGAGGCAGACACAAAATGATCACCAGGGCTTGCTGACTCCCAGCCCAGATCCAGGCTCAGGGAGAGTGATTGAGGACAGCTGGTGTCCCCATAGGCGTGCACAGCTCCCTACACACATGAGCATTCACCACACACACACATACACACAAAAACTAAGGTCCGAGCAGTAAAGCATGCTGCCGAGCCAGACAACCCAAGTTGGTTTCCCAGTACCCACATGGTTGAACAGTGGTTCTCAACCTTCCTAACGCTGCAACCCTTTAACACAGTTCCTCATGTCGTGACCCCCAACCATAAGACACTGTAATTTTGCTACTCTTACATCTGATATGCAGGATATCAGGCATGCGACCCCCGTGAAAGGGTCTTTTGACGCCTCCCAAGGGGATCGTGACTCACGGGTTAAGGGCTGCTGTGGCAGGAGAAAACTGGCTCCTGCATGTCCGTTCTCTGACCTACAGCCAGAACCACCCTGTTAGCACACTGTGGGACCCTGCTCCCTCCCAATCGAAGGCTTACCCTGTCTCAGAAATGACAACAGAAGGTGTGAGTCAGCTAGCACAGTGCTTGCCTCGAATGTGCAAAAAGCCCTGGGTTCAATCCCCAGCAGCTCATAATCTGAGCATGGTGGCACACACCTATAATTCTAGAACTCAGAAGACGGAGGCTGGAGGGTCAAGGACATTCTAGGCTACTTACATTGTTGGAGGCTACCATGAGGCATGAGACCCTGTCTCAAAAGGGGGGTGGGGGACTGAGGAAATGGTGAAGAGATAAGAGTGCTTACCGCAAAAGCAAGGGAACCTGAGTTCACAGCCAGAACAACCTCATAAAAAACCAGGCGTGGCTGCACGTGCCTGTAACTAGAATTAGTAAGGGCCAAGATAGGTGGATCCCAAGAGCTGGCTACACAGATGGCCTAGCCAAAATGTACAGCTTCCAGCACAGTGAGACTTTATCTCAAGGAAACAAAGCAGAGGTCAATGGAGAAAAATATTGATGTCAACCTCTGGTCTCCATATAAGAAGACACATTCAAGTATATACACACACTTATGTGCATACATCACACACACATACAAATGTACTCGAGAAGAATCCCAGCACTCTGCAGGTGGACACAGAAGGATCAAAAGTTCAACGTCATTTCCCAGCTGTTAGCAAACTCAAGGCCAGCCTGTGCTACAGGACTGCTTTAAAAATAAACAAGACCTGGGTGGTGTTGGTGCACACCTTTACTCCCAGCACTCAGGAGGCAGAGGCAGGTGAATCTTTGTGAGTTGGAGACCAGCCTGGTCTACAAGAGCTAGTTCCAGGACAGGCACCAAAGCTATAGAGAAATCCTGTCTCGAAAAAAAACCAAAAAATAAAAATATACAAATAGGTCAGGCATGATGGCCCACACCTTTAATTCAAGCACTGAGGAGGCAGAGGCAGGTGGATCTCTGTGTAAGTTTGAAGTCAACCTGGTCTATAGAGCAAGTTCCAGGACAGATAGAGCTGTTACACAGATACAAAACCTGTCTCGAAAAATCAAACCAATAAAGAAATAAATATAAAACTAAAAAGATGACAAATGCTGCAGTATTAGCTGAACTTTGCCATTGCTTTCTTTTTCCTCAATATTATGTGTATGTGTTTGTAAGATTTTAGACAATTCTGAAGCCATTTCTGACAATTCCAAACCCTCTCAGCCTCTGTGCCTCAGTGCTTCCCCTCCTCCCCTGGGAACCAAGGACCTAACAGCTACACATGCACGTACTCAGTTCCTGAACAATTACCCATACACGTATGTTTTGACTCAGTCCCCTGGGAAATGGGGTCAAAATGACCTCTTACCTCATCTGATCTGACAATAGTTCTCCAGTCAATTATTGGTATTAGCCCTTTTCGAATAAGCCAATCATAATGGTCAAGGAACAACCCCTCTTGTTTCTATGGGGCCTTCTCCTTTAAAAGTAGACTGTACCAGCTATTCGTGGTCTCTTGGCTTCCCGAATGCTGAGGGA